GCGGCATTTAAGCTCTAGTGTAAATGCGAAATTTAAAGCTCCCTTTTCACAGAAACTTGAGTTTTGAAAAACTTGATTGAAAATCTCTTGAAGCACTTCTCACAAATGCAATAGCTTTTAAAAATTGCTGTAAATGTGCACATTAACGATGCGATATAACGGAGAGATATTTAAAAAAAAATACATTTGTGTAATATTCGAAAAAAAAAAAGAATATTTCAAATTGAACTCTGTCATATTAAACAGAACAATTAGTACGACCCGCACGAAAAGTTTGAAGAAAAAATTTGAAACCATTTTTGGGAAATTGGCATTTGAGCGTTTCTAAAAATGCGGAATTTTGAGCTCGTTTTCACAGAAAACGTTTGAGTTTGCGTGAAAACTTTATAATATATTTTAAGCAGATGCAAACGAAATGATGTGAACAAATCGCCTCTCATGTAAATATTAACGACGTGAGAGGTCAATAAATATATCTTTTTTGTAATTTTTGAAAAAAACAAAAGAACAGAGCAATGTAGCGTTTATGTCATCTCAGAGTATATTGAGCACTATCCCTAACGAAATTTTAAAGAAAAAAATTGGAACCATTTTTGAGAATACCTTGTTCTTGTTATTTTTTAAATTTGCACACAATGACTTTCATGAAAGAATTAATTGCGGAAATCAAATGTCATGTAAAGGAAAAATTTCCATCTTCAATTTTTTGGTTGTAGGTTGGCCACGAAAAAATATCGAATTATCAAAAACCACTCAAAATTATACATTACAATTATCGAAAATTCAGAGTGAACAGTGAAAATCGCACCTATATAAGTGTATTTTACTCTATTCTTGCAAGAAATTTAAAGAAAAAAATTGGAGCCATTTTTGAGAAAATGACCCTGGGTCTTCATGTGAAGTACCCCCAAAAATTAATGTTTTTCATAATCGCAGAGCATCGACTTGCCCTCCCGCCTGGATTCTCCAATGGCCACCCTAGGATTCGTCTATACAATGGAATGTTTAAGAAGCATTGTCTACGTGCATACTTATTCAAACAGTAGGAAGGTTGTGTCAATAACTTTTAACATAAAACGCATTTAAAATGCCTAGGATTGATTAGTGTTTCCAAGCGTCAAGTGCGTCTTTAGCACCGTACGTGTACTGCATGTTTAATCACGGGAGGTGACGAGATCCCACGCGGACCTGCGGAGTTTTCCCTAATCAAGTTTCACCCACCAGACGGGTACCGCCCGAGCCTCGACTCTTAAGCTCCCGACATTTTGTGATAGTAGAATAAAACCATCTGATGCGAATCGGCACACATGTGATACAGGCTAGTAGGGGTGAGGATAGGACAAAGTCTGTCCCTTTTTTTAGTGTATTGCTCCCGCATTTGCCTGGTGTTGATTCGGGAAACCACGGAAAACTACCGGTCAGAGCAGCCAGAACTGACTAGATTTGTAAGAAGTAAATAGACGAAGAAAGTTTAAACGATAATCTGCCGTTATCCCTGTAAATCAAAATAGTTGTACATACAAAAAGATTTGCATTGAAATGAAAATTACCAAAAAATTAAAAAATGCAAAGCACATTCAAATAACGATTTGTCAAGCTGTGAGAAAGTCTGCATAGGAAACAATGCCATGTGAACACATGCTTGATGTTCCAGATCAAATGTTCTCATGCTTTTTGATTTGTCCTAATGGGATCTGAAGAAAAAAAAGAGTTCACTCCATAATTTCTAAAATAAACACCAGAAACATCTTAAGAACTATCTCCCATACACAATTATTGGTAAAATTCACAAAACCACAGGTGTGGAAAAGAGGGGTGTGTGTGTGTGTGTGTGTGTTTTGTGGAGGTGTAAGAATGCTTTGTATGGACTGTTAGCTCAAGTATTTTTAAGATTACTGTATTTACAACAAAACCAAGTATTGCCAGTACAATCGGAGGGGAAAAAAAATCTTTATTACTATACGTATTCCTGAATTAAAAGATTCAAAATGAATAAAGATTTAATTGACCATACTAGAAAATACTTGTCTCTATCCACACCAAGTATTGGAATAACTTTGTAAAATTTCGAAATTAAACATAAATAAAGATTTTATAGTCGCAAATGCAAGACAAACAATACACAAGAAGCTTGCAGCAAGTTTGGGGAAAATTCAACACAAGATTTATTTTATATTTCCAGTACATATGATAATCCAGTAATTAGATGCCTAATTGTAATGTGCTTTTTAAAAGAGTACTACTTTGCAATTAAATCCTTTGATGTGCACTTATACCTAAACAATGCTGGTAGTAACCTATTTAACTTTTTACACTACAAAATTATTTCTATTACACACTTTCTTACACTCATGAAAATAGTTGTCATCTCTAGATGCACAAGGGAATATGCTCAGAGAATACTCTGAAGTCTATCATATTGCAAAATAGGTAGAAGTACTTTCACTTGATATCACATCAATGATACAAGAAATGGTTATGACCCAACTCTGAGGTCACATTGATAAACAAGCCTCGCACCCAATACACTGAAGGTACACAGTTACAATTTAAGCTCATATCAACACTTCTCACTTGGGTCAGATAACTACACTATCTTTTACATAAGCTGCTTTAGATGTCAGAATCTAACTTAAGAAAGTACACAGAGGAATCTAGTCCCAGTAATACTATTCCATGTTTGAAATCTCCAAATGGGAAAACTTCCCCTTGTGCTTAATGCTCTTCTCAAATCAAGGACATCAACAAGCACATTTGTTCAGCACTTACAAATAATATGTATAAGTTTTATACGTACTGATATACATATATTTTTCTCTGCTCATTAGAATCATAAAAACAATATGTTATCATGATTTACAATTGTTTATAAAGCAACATTTTTCTGAATAATTCAAATTTCCATTATATCCCAGTAAAGGCATTATTTTTAGTTAAAAACCACAACTATTTACTGGAAATAGATCCAACTGGAAAACGTGCAATTTTGAAATTAATTTCATATGCAAACATGATGCAATTATACATCTAGGTGTATCAATGAATTATATGCACCATTACTTGTAAGCTGCCACAACAATGCAAAAGATTGTAGGCAAGAGGTAGGAAGTTAGTATTTTCCAAAGCAGATTAGCTCTTGGTACATTTCCTACATAAAATAAAATTATACACTTTTCTTTGGAACTATATGGAAACAGTCTTCCAGAAGTAATAATGTGTAAAGTGGTATGACTTGGTCCAAGCATAGGTAACGTATAGCATACAATGCAATGAATCTCGCTTAAGAATTGTTAACATGTTTTCGATAAAACATTTTTTGCAAGAAAATTTGAGAACACATGCAAGTACTTTTAACATTTAACAATACATCTCCTAACTATTATTTTCTAATATCGATTTTCATGAGATTCAGGTTACAGAGCTATTATTTTATTACAGAATACTGAACATAATACTATAAAAATGTTAACACAGTTCAGGCAGTATTGCTTCATACTACACTTCATTAGTATAATTCTGATGTTAGAACGAGGGTTGTCAAATCAGTCACTCGCTGACAGAATCCATATTACTTTGATCCAACAGCATTGTCCATGGCTCCTCCCATCTCTTGGGCTTTCTTTATTCAAATTCAGTACTGGCCTCAAAAGTATGTTGCAATACTTTAGTCACATTGCATACATTTTTGGAAGATTATGTATATACAGCCTCTACAATGCAAGGACAACTGAACAAATCAATCCGACCTTCCATCTCTAATATATTCCATTGCAACTGTCAATAAACTTAATATTCAAGAAAATTTTAAAACATATGAGTGGATAAGGTAAAACACATTCAAGCAAGAGATGGGTCTTGCTCTAGAAGGATCAAATGAACACATTAGTTAAAATTATTCATAAATAATCACCTATATTCAATGATAAAGAGTATGGCCAACAACTGTACACCTTACTTCTGCAAGTCTTGATTAAAAAAAAGGGGAATTTCCAAATATTCCTATTCTTCTTTGTATTGTACAATTATGGTACACTATAAGGTTCAGGAACAATAATGTTATTCATGTCTTTCTGCTGGCCTTAAGGAAAATGGGAAACACCAGATACCCCAATTATAGTACCACAACATTGTTACCTTATACAATAATTAAAAGTGGCAAAGTGTTCATTGCTCTGCCTTGTTTTCTAGAACATTCACTCTATCTACATCTATACAGAAAAAGGATCGTTTATCATTAACATTTTGAAGACCATACCATACACTGGTCTTACAACAATGTAAGAGGGTACACCGAAGATGAAATAATCATTAATATGAAACATATACACTCATTTCCATATTTAGGATCAATTTTTTCGAGACCACATGAATTGATGAATTGCTAAAAAATATATAGTATATGGGGACACTCAACAATCAATAATTGGCTCTTATATACCTATTTAAATAAGGTATATTAATTGGGATACCTGGCAGCAAACAAAGTTTGCTATACACCAAAGAACATTCCTGATTAATCAAGAATTTTCTTTGAAACCATTTTTGTCCACTAACACCTTTTGGAAAGTACGTCTTTACACACACTATATATATCAAGAGAAGGATTTATTTGATTTGCTGGGAATTAACAGCAAGCAAATATACAACACTCTTGGTAGTATTCAGGTTAGATTCATGTTTTTCATTTATCAAACCACAAATTAGGCGCAGTTGGAGGAAAATTCAGAAGCAATGAGATTCTGGACGGGTTACTATCATAACACCCTATTACACCTTGTGATGCCAATACCCAATGCTACAAATGCTATTAATTAAATTGAAGCACTGCAGGGAGAGTACGTGGTATCCTAAGAACTATGGAAGAAAGTTAGAAATTAGCGATTGCTTCAGCATGGAACCAACTTACAACGAAAATTCATCTAATTTGAGATAAAAATGCTGAAAAAAACTTCTATTTGAATGCATCCAGCAAATAACCTAGTAAAAGAAAAGGAAAGAAAAGTTCAAATACACATCAAAAGAAAATTTTAATAAGTGATGAACCATTGGCCTAATAAGCTGCTATAAGAAAGAACAAATGTTACACAGGGATATGGCTGTACAAAATCCGAAACTAAAATTGACATATCACAGAACAAATATGGTTGATGATATTGTTACATGTTAATTTCTTTTCCCCTCCTCCCCCATGTATTAATTTCAATGAGGAAAACCAACGATGTTGAAAATGGTGAGATACACCACGAGAAGGCAATTCCTTATTACCTATTCACAACTAAACCATAAATTTCTGCACCGAAAAACTTCTATCCCTAACATCAAAAGTATTTGTAGTGAGGGCAGCTCAATAAAAATATACAGAAATATTGCATTAGAGAATTAAAACCTCACAAGACTCTAGAAGAGCATTAGAAGGAAACAATGTTGTAAGATGTTCTTAAATAGATTTAAATATAAAGAACGAATAAAAAAAGAGAAAACAATCATTTTCTTAAAAAAGTAGAGAAAATAATAATTTTGTTGATGAACTGTCCACAGCGAATTAACCGAAGAGTTTACAAAGTTAATTTACACCCTGTATTACTACATCAACTAGCCAGTACATTCAATTTGATATAATAAAGAATCTTCCCAACATTGAGCTTACAGTTGAAGTCCAAATGTGAATCATTACAAATGTTGCACTAAGTAATGGTTACAAAAAAAAAATCAACTGAATTTTCCATAATGTTTGAATATATCTCAATAATTATTCTATTAATGGGAATTAATTCTTAAAAGATTAATATTTCAGGTATAGGGCCAAATTAGTTGACCGTTCATTCTTGCAGTGGCCACAAATACAACATAAATTCATAGGAGCAGGGATAATTAAGGAAAATAAAAAAATAGAGGTATTCTTTTCTGCAATAAATGTTTTCCATTTCATTTCCATGCTGACTAGCAAAAGCTGAATATTCAAATTATTGCACTACAGTATTTCATCAGGACAATCTCCTCCACACCTAATTTAAATATCACTACTTTGTACTAAAATCTGTTCAACAAAAACAGCACATAATCCTGCAATCTAAGGCATATTTAAACCAAGTAGGATCACATGAAGTCACAAAATAAGGCGGAATGTGTCAACTTTCAAACCAATTGAAATGTTTAACTGATACATAACCTGCAATTAATGTACAGAAAACACTCAGGACTTGGCATGGAAGGTACCAACATCCACATTTTGTACATACTCAAATGGCAATCAAGCAAAAATATTTCAACCAAGAGAAATAAATACAATTGGCCTATATAAATATGTCTATATAAATATAAAAAAGCACTCTGCAACCAAGGTGGTCATTTAAATAAACTTTCCAAACTTAACATTCCCAATTACAATATTGATTTTGAAAACACATTAAGAATAAAACAATTTTCCCACTTTCTGTTCAGCTTGCACAATATTTCACAAAATCTTATATTAATACAGCATTAACAGATCTCATCACACATTTCATACATTCGAATCAAGCATGGTTATCAAAAGACTGCTTACGGATTCCAAACAACATTCTCACAAATGTCAAAATTACTAAGCATGTACAAAACACTAGGTCTTTGAATTTCCTTCAACAATAAAACTTCAATAAAGACATTTCCATGATCATTCTGCTTGTCCAAACCACCATGTGTTAAATATTGGCACAAATGAATTACTTAAAATTTACTTTGGGGAAAAAAATGAGATTCGAAAATGGCAAAGAAAATTTAAAAAATAAAATAAAAAAGAAAGAAAAACCTATTCTACAACAATAACAAATGTATGTACAGGCAACCTCTCATTTACAATGATTCAGTAAGTTAACACTTCTACATCGGGTATATAAATGTATAATATATTAACACAAAATGGGCAAGAGCCAATTGTGCAAACAGATGAGAAAATGAGACTGGAATAAACTATTCCAGCAACAACAAAAACTTTAAAACATGTATGTTTAAAAGATAATACAGAAAATCAACAGTCACAAACTTTTACCTATCAACTGTTCTTCTCACCTACTATATGCAATTCATTAATGCATTTACTGTGTGTATGCAATAATCTGATTGTACTGCAATTCACGATCTAAAGTTTTTTGTGAATCACACAAATCTCTGAGAGATTTGTTATTTATGTAGTACCAACTTTCCACAAGTAATTTCTCCCAGCCTAAAAATGTTCAGTACTAATCAAAACCAACTCTTTGTAAAAAATAACATCATGAAGGCAAAGTGCATGGTGAAGCACAAAATTTTGTTCCATAAGTATTTTTAATTAGGACAAATACTGAGTGCTTAAGGCAGTGAGTAAGAAAATTGACAAAAATCTGCAAAAAATCATAGGATATTCACAACCCAATGTGCGTTGTGTTTTAGCATCTACCCAGTCTTTGCGAATTTGTTGGCACCTATAATGACAATAATACATTGTGCTTTCTTCCTATCCTCCTGGATGCATTATTCATAAAATTTAGACCAAAACATGCCACTGTTTTAAATAAATAATTATTAATTAATAAGGGATTCAACACAGTATGAAAATAGGTACATTTAGAAGGACTATGAGTAGAGATGAAACTTTTTCATCGAATATCACTAACGGCTGACTTGGATCCAAAAATTCGGACCAACTGATCTTCATAATCATCAATGTTCCTCTTCATAATGTCCATGCAAGGGCCCAAAAGCCGTTCAAATGCTTCCACATCTAAAACTGAAAAAGAACATTCCCACTTAACATTGAAACTACATATTTTCTCAACATTAAATGCAGAGGAAAACTCAGAGAAAAGTCCTGTTGGTTTCAACTAGACAACTAACAGATGTAAAAGTGAAGAGATCCAAGAAAAAAATTTGAATGAAATATAAAAATGAAATTAATTTGAACTGTAGGCATTATTAAAAATCAATCATGACGCACCAAATAATGTCTTTACTATTTCTCACAAAGAATTAAAAAAAAAAACTAAAACGAAATTAAATTCCTAGTAGTAGGGCTACTTAAATGGTCTTCGACAATGTCAGCAGCAGCCTTTCTTTTGGGCATTTTAAAATTATCATGCAGATTAAAGAGGCTGTCGCCAGTTGTATTCCATAATATCAATATATACATCAATTGTTTGAGGAAAATTAGATGTCATATTTTTATCTTATCAAGTGTCAGAATCTCCACTGACAGGTCTCTGAACTATACAATTTGTTATCTTCATCAAAATCATAGCGAGTTTGTGAATTAATGAAAAAATAATGAGGTATCCCGTAAAAAATTTTCCCATTTAAAAGTTTCTCTGCAGGTAAATTTGTGAATCACAATTAATTTTACATTAGGATATAAAACAACTATATTTTAACAACACAATAACAATGTAATTTACTTTAACTAACTCCTAAATGGTAATAAGAGGTTCAATATTTAAGGAAAAATTAATGCATGTACTTTCTAATATACAGTAATGTACAGTACAAGCCTGCTCTTTAATTTATATTATTAATAACTTGAGTAGCTTTATAATAAACTGCAGTTTGCAGAGTTTTTATATAGGCAAAACATCTATTAATTATACATTCACCTACACACAAGTTAAATAAATTGAATAGATAAAATGGAAATAATTTGGAACATGATTTCTAGACATCTCTCCACAAATTTAAGAAGTAATAGTGAAAATAACTCTACACTTACATGCCAGCTTAACATCTCCCACTGCATAAGCAGTGGCAGCTCTTGGTTTGTGTGTCACTAGTGCTAATTCTCCAAAATATCCACCAGTAGTGCAGCGATTTATCTGTCAAATATAATTGCAATCATTATATAATATCAAAAAAATTAAGAATAAAATCATGATTTGTCACATACAACAACAAATGCCCACCTCAACCTCTTGACCATTATCCCCCACTATTGTGATTCGAATTACTCCTTCTTCAATAAAATACATTCCATCAGCAACATCTCCTTGTTGAATTATAACCTCTCCATCACTGTATCTACGTGGTACCAATGCATCTGCCAAGTTCATCCGTTCATAGGGCTGCACAACAGAAATTGAAGTTATATCTCCGACATAGAAACTATATAAAGTAAATCTAGACAAATTTTCTAACGTTAGCTACCTGCAGAGTTTTCAGCATTGGAACTTTTTCAATGAGCTGTTCATACATCTTTCTCTTCTTAAAAGCACTCTTCAGTAATATACGTCGAAATGTGGTTCTGTCCATGGCCCATAAAGAACCTGCAGTAGTAGCTATTATCGTGGCAGCTCTTGGCATGTTATACAAAAGAGCAAGTTCTCCAAAACTTCCTGAATTCTCATACGTGTGAATATGCTTCTGGTTTGGTCCATCAGCTACATAAGCTTTAAAAATACCACTGTAAAAATAATATAAATAACAATTTAACATTATTAATTATAATCCTGTCCAATTATAATTATAATAATGTAATAGTTTACAATGTGTGTTCAAAATGTTCATACCTCTCAATGATATAAAAATTATCACCATCATCACCTTGTTTGATGATATAATCTCCAGGTTCTACAACCCTTTCAAACATTGCATCCAGAACCTCATTCATTTGCTCCTAAAATCAAATAACATTATGAACGCAACAAAGAGAGAAAACTATTATAAATTTTTGGACAAAAACTTACCTTCTCTAGAGAACGGAAAAGGAAGATATGCTTCACACTTTCTGCCAAGCGTTGCCGCTGCACATCAGATTTAGGATACACAATCTGGAGAAAGAAAAAGAAAAAATGAATGTGAACCTATTCTTATAATATAGCAACATTTGTGCATTCAGAAAGTGAAGTCAATTCATTCATTACCTTTTCTACATCATCATCATCCTCTTCAGGGTTGTATGCTTCAGCAAATACTGATTTTCGTCTTACATTAAATCGACCGACTGGAGGTTCTAAGAAAGAAAATTACGAATAAATTTCTACAATTTTTATAGTTCACTGATTAATTAGAATAATTAAAAAGCAATGAATATTTACTTATTTACTATCATTTAAATATAAAGGTATAATTTTTTCTATCTGGTCTTTACTGTTCTCATTTATGCAACACACAGCAACAAGCATTAAGAGATTTGATCTTGCCCCACACATTCTTATTATTTTCTTATTGAATAAAACGTACTATGTGCCATGGTGTAAAATACATTCCTTACATTGTGTACATGCCAGTTGTTGACCGATATATTTACACATTTATTCCTACAATCTAACTTTTATTCTCTATCTACTCTTAAACTGAATTATGATAAGCAAGGAATCAATAGACAAAATTACATTACTTTTTAATACCAAATTGTTTGCAAAAACCATATTAATCTTATTTGGTAACAAACATCCTATGTCACTTCTGCCAACCAATCTCTTGTATTGTAGGGAAGGGCCAACGTAGAAACCTAACAGTCACAATGTGGTAGCTTTCTATAAATCCCACATAAACCCAAATAATATACACTTTTATAAAAAATAGGTTTATCACAATTAAATGATTGAAGTCATTGCATAGTGTATTGCATTACACAGACATATTTTAGAACTGGTTGCAGAAATCATTCTAATTTTAACTGTTGCTTGGAGCTTCCAATATGATTACTAAAGAAGCGTTTCTGAGCTTCTATAAATGAACTCAAATGAATCCATTGCAACTATTACAGGGGCATACACAAACTGGAGTTCTGAAGAAAAACTCATAAAACACGAAGGAACAATACGTTCCAAATTTTAACCTTCGTCTTAATGTTTTATAACGGCAAAACGCTTTCACATTAATATAAAAATAATTCTATGATAGGCACTTACCTTCTTCCATTGATAATACAGATTCATCTGGTGACACCGCCTGTTCTTCGTCCAATCTAACCATGGCTGTTGCTCTACTTTCGCGCAGTTTGGTAAAAAATTCAACTGCGTACTCTACTACATCTCCGGGCTGCTCAAGTAAATAGCTGATTGTAAATTCTAGCAGAATGTCCCGCAATTCATCGGGAACAGTAATTCTTCCCGCTTCAGCCCGGCTCATTTTTGGTTGCTACACACTTCAGTACAATTACTAAAATATTAATACTTTTGGGTACTTTGTGATAAGCACCTTTTTGAAAACTGAATCAGGCTAGGCCTATAATCACCCACACGTCAATTTCAAGAAACACCTCTGCGGAGCAGATAGGCCTTAGAAAATTTGGAAAATGCTAATCGAACATCTTACTACCACACGCACTCCAATAGGAATTTTCACTAGAATCACTTCCGTCACATAACTCACGTTATAAAAACTTTCGTTATTTAACGGCGCATAGATCTGCTAAGAATCTCGCATTTACAATACGAAATAACTCAGCTTTTATTCACAAAAAGAAGTGATGCTTCTGAGCCTTCCACCTATGGAAAATGGCGACTACTCCGCAAAATGTCAATGATTTTCTTCAATATCAGAAAAATAATTGCAAATTATGTTCGCCATTTCCAGGCGAAAATCCTCAAATTCTTAATCGATATATATCGAACCATTTGTTTTCGAAATTATGTTTTCATTATTAATATGTTTAGCACATCGACCTGCAATTGACTAGGTTGACTACCTGGAACCGATTTGGATTAACGCAAGTTGATGAAAGAAAACCAAACTAACGAATGAAAACCTCGTAAACCCGTACGCAAAGCCAAACAAGCAATTCTGCGAATTATATTGTTTAATCAGTTTTATCAAAAATTACGCAACCTAAGTACTCGATCACTTAAATGTCATGGCATTGACACCTTAAAGCTTGTCACTCAATCAAAGCCCATTATCAAAAGAAACTTTTGCGTCAGTAACCTGTCAAACGTTTATCTTCAGCTATTCAAGAGGGATCATCATCTAATAATCTTGCTGTACCTTCATATCTTTTCAATAATATGGGTGAAAATATGTTTAATATCACAAGAAAAATGTTCTCAAGTTGTTATTCAGACATTTTTGCCCAGTAGTTCACAGCAGTATCATAGAACAACATTCTTCCATGGCAATATCCTCAGTTTTTCATGTACAGAATAATCCAAAGCCATTTTCATGAAGTAAATTTACTATTTTTAAGCAATTTATATTTGCCATAGTAAAATGTATTTTAATATACATAGACTTCTTTGTGGAGGTAAGGCAGTTCACAAGGAAATTAGTGATAGAATATTTTTTAAACACTGTTTTCATTGCTGCCAAGAAATTGAGACAATAAAAAATTAACTTTCAACTGTTAGGTTTATTAATATCTATTTGACAAGCATTTTTTTATTCACTGTCTTCTGAAATATAAAATTAACGATCAGCAATGACCAGCAAATACCAGATGTCTTTTTGTGAAAATAAACAAACTTTTAAGAAATAGTACTTCTAAAAGGAGAAAAATTATAAAGGACTTAAAAATGATAAAAGTAGGGTTCTTTCCAAAAGAACAATTCTTGTTTCTCAGCTTGCCAATTGGTTCATATAAATGATGCCTTAAAAAGAATGTCTTTCAGAAAATGAGTAAATAAAAAACCCATAAATAATTTTCAAAGCATTAATTTTGGAAGATGAAGCATAGAAAAGTACAGGGAATTGAATTAAATGTTATTACTACATTGAAGTACATAAAATATTTAAAATTCAAAGCTTAAAGGAAATGTCCAAAACTTAATAATAATCTTTTCAATATAATCCTAGCAAATTGACATTCTCTGCTGCAAGATGATTTGGACAACCTTTTAAACCAGAAATCAATGCAGGAATATTAAAGGTTCACATTAGTCCAGTAGATTATCTAACACCTTATGGAAAAAAATCTCTGTAGAAAACAAGCAAAATGTACTTTGTGCATTACACACACACACACAAAATTTAAATTATGCTTTTTTTGTGTGGAGAAAACACAAAGCACAATTGCAATTCATGGTTTTATAAAACTATGGAGCATGACTAAGAAGCCAAATCAAAGGCACAGGAGAAAATTAAAAAAAATACAATGTATTTTTAAGCAAAGAAGAAAAAAAACTTTAATAAATACCTAATTTTCATCAAAACATTTTCTTTTATGCAAGTTTTGTTGATTGCATAAAACAATGCATGAATGATGGACAAAGAGGTTTTATTAGATTCACTTAAAATTACTGTGAACTTGTTCAAAACTTCCTACAAAACATACAATGAAAATAGTTCCTTTATGAAATTGATAATTTGAATGAATTGCACATTTTATTTTGTACTTTAAATGCTTAACATTAAGTGTTCTACAAGAATGTGTGTTGTCTTTCATAGGCATATAAGAAACTACTAAAATACAACTTCTGGGTTGAAAAACAGTCCACAAATCTTTTGGAATTGAAAATTCCAATTTCATTTTGACCATACTTGCTTTAGTCTTTATATTTTTAATTAACGAACAGATGAAATGACAAATAAAAAATAAACTACAAAACATATACACTTATTTGAATTGTTCATAGAAATTCACTTTGGTTCTTTGTTATACACTTCCATAATTTTTTCCATAATTTCCCATAACTTGTCCTTTTGCAAATCATCTGCATATACCTAAAACAACACAATACATGAATAAAGTTAACTTAAAGATAACTTAATAAAGGCAAAAAAATGTATGTAATAATACGTACTGAATACCAGGGAACTCCTTCTCCTTCATCTGTAGGCAGTACCTGGCCACCATAACACTGTAGAGCTAAATTAATGCAAGCAATTGCTACATGCTGTGGTGTGTAATCCAAAATTGCTGGATCATAGTGGAAATCCTACAAGAAACAAAAATGCAAACTCAACTAGCACCCTCAAAAAATTAATAAAAGGCACTTGTAGGTATCTGATATTAAAAACACAATTGAGAGATCAAAGGCAAGACAAATAAAAAAGGTACATACTGGACTATTAAAAATAATTCAATATTTTATATTTACTTACAATTGGTTTGGTTAATGCATTAAACATTAATAAACATAATTAGGTTAATCTTAAATCAGCCCAATAGTTGCCTTTTGAGACAAACATAACTTACTTGAACCATGCAAAAAATATCTCAATTATCTTTATTATCAAAAATCTAATACTTTAATTCATTTCAATTTTTTTAGAAAGCTTTTTTTGGTACAACTTTACATGATTACATAGAAAAATGTATCAGAGTGTGTAGTTTTATTTTTATCCATTATAGACAAAATGATTTAGTGATTAAGATAGAATTTCAACAATAATTGCCAAAGTAAGAAAAAGAATGAAGTAAAATACAGAAAGAATTAAATGAAAACTTGTTCATTATTAATGAAGATGAGCAATCAATAATATTAGAGTGCTTTGTCCAAAAATGCTGAATAACTTCAATAGTATTCAGAATCATTAAAATCATCAATAAGCAATTAAATCAACCACTGCATTTAATAGTTCAGCTATTGCACAACATGGAGCATTTTGGCAGATAATGAAAGCTAGAAATTAAAGGATTAGTAAAACTTCAATTTTAAATAGGAATCAAAAGTTAAAACTATTCAAATGATGAAGATGCCACATTAATCCTAACCAAAATTCTATTCAAGGCAATTAGACAAAAAAACATTATTGTAATTTAAAACAGAAAACAAAAAGCTTCTATTGTTCGACACTAGAAATAGGCACGGATCCACAGGAAGGGAAATAAGGGAAAATATCTTCCCCTAAATATTTTCAGTAACTTAATTTTACTGTCATGAAACTTTCAAGCAAAAATATTTTCAGATAATTACAAAAATAAATAAAATCTTGCAGAATGAGCATAAATAAAAACCCAAATTAATGTGCACCAAGCAAATTCATCACATCAGTAACAATGAAAAGCACTGTGTTATAAAAAAGAAAATATATCCAAATAATATATAAGAAAAAATATAGAAATTGAATAAAGATATAAAGCTGTATTCACTTCACTATACTCTATATTATTTTAAATCAATAATGTTTCAAATTTCCAGTATCTTCACTCTTCTCAGAATTTCAACCATAGCAATAATAATTGCAGAGAAAAAAATCAGATTTGTCATATGAGAAGATGATAGATCATTTTTTGATTCTCGTAATTTAAAGCAAAATCAAATTTATTATTATCAAAGCAACTGGTTATTCTTAGTAAATGAGCCAAGGAAATTTCAACTAAAGCAGCGGAGAAAAAAACCAACCAACCCCACCATAATACTATTGAAAATCACTGTCTCAGTTAGTGCAATTTTCAGTTAAAACAAACCAGATGAGCTCCTCTGGATTTTAAGATTAAATTCATTCCACCTAACAGAAATTATTAAAAGACTTTGAGATGCAAAAGTAACCTTCAAAAATAAACTTAAAAAGCCTGAGTTTTTGGTGTCACAAAACAATGAAATTTCCTCACAACACAAGTTCATAACTTGTTAAGTGAACTATCTTCAAGTATTCTATCAATACTACTAACACAACTCAATTACAACAAATCTAATTTCAAAATGGAAAAGAACTATAGACAAAATTTTCTAGTTTTGAGCCATTTGATTTTTCTGGTTGGAATTTTATTAAAGTTTAGACTAGGTCAAACTTTTTTCCTTCTGAGAAATACATGAAGTGCACCTAAGAAATCGGTTAAGCTTTCTCAAAAAAAAGTCTAAAACCTAAAAATCACAAATCAGCTCAACTCATGGTGATTTTCATATCTCATTCAGTTTTCAAGCAACTGGTTGATATTGTTATTCTCAAACCATACATTTTAAAGGTGCCATTAAGTAACTAGTGGTGCTACAGAATGGCACAGACATCTCCAACTTGCAAAGTTCCCTCTTCTCTTGAAACTAGGCTAGCTTTTTGGTTTTGCCCCACCCTTTTTCCCAGACATAATCTATTTGCACCTAAGAGACGTACTAGGGCCTCTAATGATACTAACCCACTGCTTCCCAGTAAAAAGCACCATCATACGAGTATTTCCTAGGCCTATTTCAGTCCTGTTCCTATAAATATTTCCCCATGAAATCTCTCTGCCTCATCTCAGTGCTTGTATCTCTGTTCTGGGTACAGAGATCCCTTTCCTCAATTACACACAGACAGATTGTATACACCTCTCACATAGTGTGGCTGGTCAGAAGACTATGGAAGGAAAAGCGTACAGATGTAACTAGTGGCCTGCAACAGCATCAAAAATGCTGAACAAAATCACACAAAAAGGTTTTCTAAGCAGTAGCATATAATGGAGTTGTGTGTTTAAACACATATGACATTTGCCCCTAATTATAATTTTGCAATCCCTTCAAGAACATATGTCCCGCAGGCACATAATCTCATTAAAGGTGACAGAGTTGACCTGCCAAAGATTGTGCAAAAGACGTGTAAAAATCAGGGGAAATGTCATGTGTGTAGCTCTAGTTATATAAAATTTCTCACTGCATGTTCATTGGGGGAAAAGTGATCTTTTTTGAATCCTATACAAGCCCAAGAAGATATCTATAGTAGAATACAAAGTTTTCAATACAAATAATATCAAAAACATTGCCGTTCCATAACACTACACGTGAATAGCAAATATTTAATGGTGATTAGCCTCTTCCTTTGGAGCCTAGCTGTCATACATCAGCTGTATAACAAGCAGTGATATGCCCCCCAAGATCCTGGTATCTAGTGAAACCCTAGACACCTCTCATACGATTGGAGGCTGTACAGTTTTCTTTCAATATCTGCCCTCATTGTAAATGAGTAATTTAGATGTTTTTGTATTTTCTCCTGAATTCCTGGCTAATGAAACCTTACTCACCTCAGAAGGTCAGAGGGTGCATAGTTTTCTTTCAATTTCTGTGTATATTGAAAATTAGTAATACTAGTGGATACCCACGTGATTAAATTGCCGGAAGTTTAAAGCCAAATCATTTTACTTGTCTACATATCTGTTTACCATATTCATGTACTCGGACGAAAAACTGAATGTATTCTGTCCGTAGTGTATCATCTTCCAAGTCTGGGCTGGCATGACCTGCTCTGCTCTGCCTCAACGCTGAACTGCTCAAATCCACCCTGCTCCTTGCCACCTTCCTAACCCTGAGCTGTGTTGCCTGTCTCCAATACTATCTGCCTTACTGCCAGGTTGTGCATGATGTTGACATTTCAGAAATATTTTTTTCATTTCTTATTGTTTTTATAACATACACAAAAATATAAACTTCACGTTCAGACATTGGGGGCACTCAGCTTTCAAACCACCCTTTATTTGATGAGATTGATTGAGTAGTTCATTCAGTAAAGGTATGTTTACATAACACGTTTCTTTTAGAAATAATATATATGATAAGATTCCTGACGGTCTAGAATGCCCCGTGCCAGGAACACAACTTGACATTCAAGACTTGCATCGATTTTGATCTCCTTTTGATAGCCTTAGTATCCTTGTAGTAGGGCTCACCTGCCCCAAGCCCCTGTCCCCAACACCAACTCAACCATCAACACCAACTCCATACAAGTCATTTAAAGAAAAATTTTGGATCTAGTTTTGAGAAATTCTTGTTTTTAAAATTGCCCATATTTCCCTCAAAATGGTGCAAAAATTAATATTTTTAAAAAATGCAAAATATGAAAAATGGCTTGACAAATGCATGTATTTTCTGCCAACTTTATTGATTCTGTAGAAATATTCTGACATCTGATGTACATATTACTGATCACTATGTTTCATTACTGCACTTAAAACTAGAATTGGAAAAACAAAAATAACCTAATTACTGGCAATGTAATGAAAACATTAGGGCTAATGTGGAACCATGAAAAAAAGCTGTGTTACAAGTAGCAAGACCCCACCATATACAAGACAACATTCTAGAAATAATTTGCTGGAATGCACATGGGAAAACTTTTCATTAAAACACTGGAAAAACTTAAATAAAGAACACTAATAGTGCAATTCTTCTATCTTGAAACTTGGAAGTTCCATTATAAAAATAAAGGTAGCGATGAAAATGAAAAAGAAACTACAGTTGTGGCTTCCTTATTATATTCTGGTTCTTTTAGGCTTCAATTTTTTCACCTGAAACTGATTTGTTGTTATAGTCGTAGAAAAGAAGTGACAAAAACATTTATTTCCAAAACAAAATGTTTTATACTTTTGGGAAAGTTTAATGAAGAAGATTGGTCCAGTATTTGTAATATAAAGTGTAAATAAGAGAAGAACACTATAAACCGATGACGATGTGGACATAAGTTGACTATGAAGGTGAAATCAGGGGACAGTGCTTGAAGACAAAAAAATTATGAAAACCATACTCAAAATTTAATTTTGGTGTATTTTGTTGGAATTAATGCTCAACTAAAGTTTCACTTAAGTAAGTTGGCATTTCTGCTACCAGCTAGCAAAATACAAACCAAATATGGAATAATGCCCAAGAAAGTGTGATGTGTAAACTTTAAGACCTAGTTGTGAAGAACAAATTTCATTGAAGACAATGGAATTTTTGTAATTTATCAAAATTCTTAGGTAACAGTAAAAGTCAGACCATTCATTACTCTATTCTAAAAAGAAATACCTTTCCAAATGTATACGAGAAAGGAAAAGTTAGGAATAAGCAACTTTGTAATTTACATAGTATTTGAATTTATCAACGGTTTAATTGAAAATTCACACAATTCAAAACTAGAGTACATTTTACTCAAGGTAATTACATACGTTATATACATTGCAGCATATAAATACCATGGCAGTTTTACCTGCAGAAAAGCTGAAGCTGCCTTTGCAATAGGCATCTTGGACCAGTCATCTTTCTCACACCAACCTTCCAAGGATTTCAAGTAATGCAACATGAACTGCAATTACACATTAATAAGAATCACAAGCACACAAACAAACAAATAAATAAAAGCAACTACAAACATGAAAGCTCAAAGATTACAAAGTTGTTAACATTATCAAGTACAAACCTTATGTGGATGGACAATAGTTACTTCAAATTTCAACATTCTCATTATGAGCAATTCAGCTTGAACAATAGCATCACGCATATTCCAATATTCATCACCCAATTCTAAAGGAGCTGCTCCTCTGTTCAGGGTATTGTGAGTAACATTTATCACATCTCGAATTTTCAAAGGATCATCTTTAACTTTGCCAGCCAAGTACAAAGTTGTTGCAGCAATTAACTGTAAAATAAAATTTAAATTAAAGACCTTTTCAATTTTTCCATAGTCAGGCACATGATAAACTTACAGCATTCTGTTCAACAAAATAATTAAAATATTAATACTGTTATATTTACATGAAATAAATATTTCTTCTACGCAAACATTAATGGCTTAAAACAACAAATTACTAGTAAAACCTGATGAATATCAGATGAATTAACATACCATACATTCCATTAACATACCATGACATTTCACAAGTGTAAAATAGCGAATGAATTTTCCGTAGTACAAAACTTTACAGATTAATAAAAGAGGGAGGGGAGCGAGGAGAAAAAACAAAACTTGAAGGATAAAGAAGCACATGCACACACACACACAAACATACATTTTAAATACTCTGAAATGAATTAATACTCCCAACTAACTACCTTATAAACACATCTAATAGCTTACTTGAGGTCGTTTCACCTGAAATATGGCTAGTTTTAAAAGCACATAACAGACTGACTACTGGTTTTCATTGAAGGTTTGACGATTCAAAAATTTCTCATTTTCAAATGTCGCTACACACATTTGTTTGTACCTTTATTCATAATTCAGCCATGTATAATAGAAGACTGGGGTAGGTATTCTGAAGCTCAAGAATATGTGCGAAAATTATACTTCCCATTTGTCACACAGTTTTTCCTGTATTTTTTTGAATGAGAAATTAAAAATTGAACTACCTAAACTTCCTTGAATGAATTTCACACGTTTTTTCATTTTGGGACAGCCTTCGCTCCCCAAAAGGATGGGTTTTCACCAAATCACAACAATTTGATCATGCATTTTTTAATCTTTACTCGCTACAAACCTATTATCAAAAATTTTGAAAACTCTAAATGACAAATTGATGTTCAAACATACTGAAATTAAAAATTAACAAGGATGAATGATATTTGACTATCACTTCTCAATATAGACTTCCATTTTTAAAAACAAGTAGGGCAACTGCAACTATACTATGATGCAACTCTCTGTTAGAGTGTGTGTACACAAGTCATTTTTTTAATCTTTGTTTCAAATTTGGAATCAAATTTCATTATATCCTTTAATTTTATTCTTTCTTGTTGATATTAATTTTAATTTTTCATATTATAATTTCATTTTTTTTATATTAATTTTTATTTATATTGTTTTCATCCAGATTAATTAATTTTCATAAAGGGGAAAAAAGAAGGAAAGAGAGAGAGAGAGAGCCCTTAAAGATGACAGGTTTAGCTAGTTCAGAGTTCCAATTATGTGCAAAATTTAAACCTTTTGAGAAATGGTTAGCATTTTCATCAAATAATGTCCAAAAACATCAAGAAATACCATTTCTTCCAACAAATTTCTCCATAGGGCATACTTTTGAAGTCTGGATTTGTAAGTGGTCTTAAAAAGCATTCCCATTGTCCATTGTGGGAAAACTTGTTAGTATTGCAGCTTGCAGAAACACTACTGGTAATACTTCATTGGTAGAATGTAAGATACATTGTTATCACGTAAATATCAAGTATTGTTTCCTGTACTTCTAATTTTCATTTAATTCTTTAGGACTGATAAAACTTTCAGGGTTTGTAATGTCCATATCTGATGACAATACTTGCAACTTTGAAATAACAGTGTGACATAATAGTCTATTATAATTAATTTTATTTAGCCCACAACTTGAAAAATTAAATGTTCCCAGTTGAGTTCCACACTACAAATTTGCTATTACAGTCCATCCACTGGTTGCATGAATCAGTTTTCTCTGCTTTCAACTTCGGTGCATCTGGTGTTACTGTAGGCTTGAGAATGTTTTATAGTAAATGGTTTTAAATTAAATAATGTCATAATGCTGTAATGAGATGATTTCTTAAATCATTAGAGGCAATCCATAATAGATCACGTCCATGCATCGTGTATATTAGATGGATATACAGGGTATTTTCAAAGGAACATAATTTTCTATGAATACTACTCACTTTGTATAATCTACATGACATCAATAATTGTTCTTTGCTTCTTCTCAGGAGGTCTTAAGTCAATGTTTATTTTTTGTTGAGATAGACCATTTCCCCATTATCAAAGTTTTCTAGAAATCTGCCATCCTGCACTATATATACAAGGGGATGTTAAATAATAATAATTTGTTTAATTAGGTACCATATACGATATGCATTCTTTTGTAATACTGAATATTGGGAATGACCCCCTATACGATTGACAGTGATAAAATATTAACGAGATACTGTACTATTGTGAATCATTTGACTTCAGTGAACTTTGAGTCTATATACTTGCTCACTATTGTCCAGTAGGTTAATTGATAAATAGTTTGTATGTTCACTTACATTTTTCAAATATTGCCGGCTTCTTTTCATAATGAAGTCAGCAATAGTTGGTGTTTAGGTCATTATAAAATGTTTTGTTAGAGACAATCCACGGTGCTCCAGATAACTTTCTTAATTTTTTTGTTTCGAATCTTCTAAGTCTCTCAATGTTCAATTCATCAGCAGAACCCCAAGTTCTATATTGTACGTCCATGTGGTTTTTATAACAATTTTGTATAACAGCACTTCGTTGAACAGAGAGCTGCAACTTTTTGTTGAGTCATGACATTTTTTGTTCTTTTAGTTGCGCTTCTTTCCATTTTGTAGTGTTGCAAGTTTTCCATGTAGTTGTCTAAGTGTAATCCAAGATATTTGACAGTTATAGACTCAGGGAATTCTGTACTATTTATACTAACTTTTGGACACTGCTTTCTTCTTAATGAGAAGGTAATGTTTTGATTTCATTGCATTTATAATTACTAGCCATTTGTTTTTTCGTTCTTCTGTTTTGTCCAAGTGTGCATGTAAATATTGCGAAGTGCAACAAGGATATTCATCTGCTGCTGTATCATCGGCAAATGTAGTATTCGTAGTGCAGACAGCTATTCGCAATTCAGAAGTAGTTATTATGTGTAGAAAATGACCAAGGATACTGTCCTGGGGCACCCCTGCGAGGGTAGGTTTGAATCCTATGGGGGCAACATGGTATTTAACTTGGAGAAAGCAATCGCACAGGCATGATTGGAAGAAAAGGTAATAAGGATGTCGTAGCAAGAATTTAATCTTATTTGAATAGGTAAAAACCTGAATGCTGTAAGGGATATTTTATAAATTCTGAGAAATCTGTTTATTTAAGTCAATATTACAGTAAAGTCGTGGTGCTTTGTGTCATCATTAAAACCATGGCATTTCAATTGTTCATATCAAAACCACATAAAGATATTGCCACTGAAATGTAACCTAAAATAAACAGGTTTCTCTGAGAATTTATAAAATGTCACTTATACCGTTCTGAAGTCCTTCATGCCAGACTTTGTCGAACACTTGCTGGATGTCCGGGAAAGTTGCAGAACAGTACAACTTCTTTTCTAGACATTGTATTATATTATTATCTACTCTACGAGTTTGCTAAAATGATGAAGGTCCTCCTCTAAATCCATACTGGAAGTCCAGGATTATATCACTAATTTGAGGCTTAAAGCGCTGTAATATGTTTTTTTTCAAAAATGTTGACAGTACTCATAAGAGACACACAGGTCTATAATAGGTCACTTCTGTGGAAGGTTTTTACTAATGCTGTTATTTTGACATACTTCCATTGACCTGGATAGTGACCATTTCCATAAGGAACAATTATTTACAATTTATTTAATCCCATTTAAAATATTTGATTCCAAGGGAAAGTCTCTGCTGGTAATTTGTAATATTTGTAACCATTTTTTAAAAAAAACGCACACTTTTGAACCATAATTCAAATATGTTGTTTTTAATAATTTCACCCCCACCTCCACCCATGAAAGATACCCCCATATTGCTTTGAAGAAAATACATTTCTTTTTTCCTCTAACACCTAAAGGTTACAATAAAGTCAATCCAGGACTTCCTATGGGCTTCCTCTGCTCATAAATTTTGCTTCATAATTTTTCAAGTATTTTTATTTATTCTGATAGAGAGAGAGAGAGAATAATTATGGACATAATTATGGACGAAATAATTATCTACTAGCATTGGCCATACTAGTGATGTGTATTTTACTTCCCTCTATTTAACAACTTGCTTATACATTTCAGAGTTTGAAAATCTAGTTGAAGTTTGATATATCATGAAAATGTCTTTGTAATTCATAATGCAAAGGCCAAGAGTAGTTATTGAAGCGGTGGATGATTCAATTTTTTGAAGAAATCCAAGGAATACCATTTTGAAATTACAGAAAAGCAATTCACACACATAAAATCTCAAGAAAACAATACTTTCAAAGTAAATGGAATGTCCACAGAATGGAAAAAAGTGTATTACCAAATAGGGCTTGGATTCTATATTAATAATTTGGGCTTGACATCTCAGTCTTCAACGGAGCCACCTGGACAGCCCAGATCATGACTGGCTGCATTATCATACACCTAGGATATCATTTAACATATATATTGTTAATTGAATTTGGCCACAGAGTTTTAAACGATGGTTTTTAGATCATAAAAAATTAATTCAATTTTCTGAGCACTCCCATCATTGAAAGTTTATTGTTTTTCAGAGCAATGTTTCAAGAAATTATTTTTTCTATATCTTCCTGCTAGACATAAGAAAGGAGTAAATTAATCTAAATATGTTAAAAAGAACATATTAATAGCACTCGATATAATCATAACATATAGAGACTCACCAATTCAAACAAAAGATGAAACAAAAAAAATCAGCGAAACACATATACTACACACATATTTACAGTAGAGCGTGCAAAGCACATACAGAATGGCTGTTATAAAGAGGACAATGTAAACAATCAGCTAAGACCGTTGTGAGGAAGGGGGTGGGGGAGAGGCTTAAAAACAGAATATAACAGAAAAATTATTATTCTGGGTTACTAAATTGAATTAGAGAAAATATTAATAAATTAAAACAATGACTTTCACTAAAATAAAGTACCAGAAAATATATCTGTGGCTAGCGATCATACAAAGCATTAATCATCTGAAAAGTTAAAGAAGTCATACAGACACATGAATATATTCGATTCCACCTGTGTATTAAAAAAGGGATTGTAGGTCATTTCCCCCTTATTTTAAAGTCATTATATAGGTAATTTTCAAAGAATTTTTAAGTCACCAGAATCTGAGCCCTGTTAATAACAAAGTGCACCATGCATCATTGTAACATTTAAAGCAGCAACACAAAAAAGCTAGCATTAAACATAAGAAAGTCATGGAAAAAATAACCCTATGAAAATCTCAAAAACAAAGTTTACTTACATAGCTATCATAGCCACTTGAATCAGCTTCTTTAAAGAATCTGTGATACAAAATAGCAGCTGTAGCTATAGTCAAAGGTTGAGCATCTAACTTGATCCCTGCAAAATACAAACAAAGAAAATTCACTTCACTCTTAATACTTTTTCTTTTTGAAATAAGGAGCAATGAAATATAACCTGGAAATTACATTCGCACAAAAAACAGCAATATTTTCTTACCACACTCAAATATGAAGCGCACAGCAACGAAATTGTTTTCAACTTCTCGATAATCCACAGAAATTGCTTGTTTGCTCTTCTCACGTTGTAGTTGCATCACATCAATTACATCCTTCATAGTGAGGTCTTCTCCTACGACACAAGACATTGCTAAATGTGTATATATAATGTTCTTAACTTCCCCAAATAACGGTGATGACGAAAAACACTTTAATGTACACCTCAATAAAATAACTTCTCTCGCGATGTGAAAACTGAAAATTTCATAAGTTCGACATGTGTTTCAAAAATAATCTGGTTCACGGTACAGGTATAGTCACCAATGTAATAATTTCACATTAAGAATATTGTTTGTTACAGCACGCTAGTTCATCAGTCACTGAGCGTTTTCCGTATTATTGTTTCAAAACGACAATTACGGCTTCATTTACCTTGACTTCTGTCAATACGCTAAATCACACAAACTAATTCGCATGTAATTCACTCACAAGACTCGCAAATAATTATTACTGTGAAAATTTGCCGGCTTCCCGTTTCACGCGTGCTCTGAAATCAACACCAAGCGAACCTGCATGGTTTGCGATGCGCTTTCCATTCGTGTTTGTATGAGCTATTTGTTTACACTTACATGTAGCCAACATGATTAGTAAAAATCGAACTGAAGCTGTTTGCTCCTCAAATTCTATTCCATCATCAATAGGACACTATGATAACAGATTAAAAGATATAAACAAATACTTGAAATTTTAAATCATATCAATAATATGAAACAAAATTCAGGGCTCAGGTTTCGATTTCTTTGAACATCGTTAGTTGGCGAACTTAGAATACTCTCGGGCCATGGACCAGAGAGTATATGTCATGGACCAGGAGGCCTGCTCCCGTCGAACTGAATGATTGCCAACCACTGAGCTGCGTGAGGAACGTCAGGTCTATTACTGAACATCTAATTAAACGCCCACAAAGGTTTTCATTTACACCCTTTGGGCGCTTCGTGCTTCATACAAGAATTTCCTTTCAAATGCTGTAGTGACACTTTTTTAAAGAGGCCGTCCAGCCAAGGGAACGGAAGCAATCAGTGGACGAAAAGGTAATAACAAGAGTCAAATTGACGGTATGCCCTTATTCTTTTAGTGCTAATTTCATTTACATAGTTTTAGATTTAGCTCTGAAATAGGTGTAATGTTGCTCCCAAGTACATGCACAACTGTCAAGAATTGCAGGCGACGATTGTTAATATATATATTTTTTAAATAGTGCCTATTAATCTAACATTTTATATTAATAAGTCACATAGTATTACTGTTACTGTTTTAATAAACAGTTTTTTCCTTTTATAGATAGTGAATATTGCTCTACAGCTGGAGAGCAAGGATGGATATGGAATCCAAATATATTTTACGAAAAGTCATTACGGATTTCTTGTGTTTATTTGTTGGTAAGTTACAATTCTTACATTGTCAGTTTTTTTCCACTTCAATTTTTTTTAAGATGTTTTGTTTTAATTTATTCCCATTTTTCAGTTGCTCTTCCAATCCTTCTATTTTATTATTATGGACAGCCTTATGAAAGGGGATTTTTCTGTGATGATGAATCTTTAAGACACCCTTTTAAGCCTTCAACCATAACAAGTGGTATGCTGTATGTTCTTGGAATGCTTTTACCAATCATAAGTGTGAGTAGCTCTTCTTACTGTACATTCAGATTTGTTAAAAATTCAATGATACAATTGATGTTTTGTTTAGTTCATGATTACAGAGTACATTCATTTTCGAGAATCCAATGGACAAGCAGCAAAAACTTTCCTTGGAAGAGCTATTCATCCTTGGGTATGGAAGTGTTACCAAATTATTGGAGTGTTTGGATTTGGAGTGGCGTGCTCTCATTTAATCACAGATATTGCGAAGTATTCTATTGGGCGTTTAAGACCTCATTTCTTTGATGTCTGTGATCCCATGATTAATTGTACTGATCCATACAATAAATACAGATATATCATTGACTTTGAATGTAGAAAGACCCATGATAAACATCTCTTAAAAGAAATGAGGTAAATATACTGTTGATTATTTTACAGACATATGTATTCCATCATATTTATTAGTTTTATTCTTCCAGATTGTCATTTCCTTCTGGACATTCATCATTCTCTGCTTATACAATGGTCTTTTTAGCAGTAAGTATGTTCAGAGGAGTTAAACATCTCTCCTTCACTGCTAGTTCTATGCATCTCAATATTAGGAAATTTTAGGATTGTTGTTGGACACTATTCTAACTTTTTTGTGTTTAATTTAATTTAAGTCGATCAAAATTTAGCCTGATAATTTTTTTTTTTTTAATTTCATTACAAAAAGACACAGCTTTAAGCCACTTCCACAATATTCAATTAAAATTGTTTCCAAAAATAAGAAATTTCTCATAATCTTTCAAAACACAGTATTTGAGACTGTAAATTAATCAAAATACTGCAACAATAATGTTTAATATTGTGCAATGGGCTAAATTAAAAACATCTCTATCTTCATGTAAGAAATTCTTGTGTTTGAATCTGAATGAGACATGTACATAACGGGTTTGGTAAGACAATTTTGATGAAAAGAAATGAGAATAACTCATAAAGAAATTTATTTTCATACGTTGATGGGATTATTCAATTTTTTTGTCAACATATTTATATTTAATTTTATAATTAACATTGAGGAATTTTTGGACATTTTTTAAGCTTCTATTTTGATGAATTCATCATAACATATCATTTATACCATAATGTAAATAAAAATGATTCACAGAAAAAGAGATTTGGTGAAAAGTCGTTTTTATTTTAAATCACATTCTTTCCAAAGACTGTTCTTCCCTATTCATAAAATTATTAGCATTTGGTCATTAATCCAGAATTATTCACAAACTTATTTGTTTCTTTTATCTTTCTTTGCAGATGTATCTTCATGCAAGAATGACCTGGCAAGGATCAAAATTACTTCGTCATTTCTTGCAGTACATATGCATACTTATGGCACTGGTTACTGCAATGTCAAGAGTTTCTGACTATAAACATCATTGGAGTGATGTGTTAGCTGGCACATTGCAGGGTTCTGTTGTGGCAATTCTCACGGTATGTTTCTTTTTGTAAAAATTTACCTTTTGTTCTCACCTTCTTTGTGTGTCTAAAAAGAAATCAGTGTTGTGAATCAGAAAACACACAATTTGTTAATTTGTTCCAATCCAAAAGCAATCTTCACCCTTTATTTCAGAATAGTTTACTTGTTCAACTTCAACTTACATCTGTTTTGCAAAGCAAAATATGCATTTTGTAATGCTTGTTTGTTTGAAGGTCCTTTTTATATCGGATCTATATTCCCGCAAACATGCCGCAATTCCAGTGCCAGACAGTGAGCCTCCAACTACTCATTCAGCCAATAGTGGGACCAACAGAATTTGCTGAATGCCATCTTCTGCTTGCAAGAAAGAAGAAAAAATACTGCTTTTAGCAGTGCAATGGGTATTTTTTAAATGACATTTAAATAAAATAGATACATTGCTGTAATCATAATGTTCTTCCCGACAATTTTTTGCTAGGTAGATTAAATACTCAAGTTCCTGTTTGTACTAGAGCTTCCCTTAGAAAGATTTAACTTCATTGTCAATTTTTCTAAGAGTAATATTTGAAGGTATTGTTTATAAGTAGATTTTTCAATGAACTGTGCCTGAGATACAATATTCATCAGTGGGAGTTGCAGCTAACTTGGGCAAGTTCATTTCTGGTTCTTCCTAAGGCATTTTCTTTATGTTCATGAAATTGTGAAATCCTTTAAATTCATTCCACTGGCAGGGTATGTTCTTATGTAATTTGTAAAGCACAGCTAGCCATGATGTATTTTAATTTTATTTCTAAGGTTGATTTGTGGCAGTTTATTTTTTTAAATTTCGTTTTAACATTTTTACATCACATTTTGCTAGTCAGTACACATTAGAGAATGTTTGTGTATTAAAAATACACAAACCTTGAGTACATGATGATGATGATTACCAATTTAAGAAAGATCGCCAAGTGGGAACTAGTTGGTGAGAGAACGATTTTTAAAAGTGATTAGAATTTTAGTATCATTTAAAATTTGTGTTAATACTGGGAAATTAATGTTCAGAATAGACTGTGTGCAAAATATATTATAACACAGAAAGTATATATAAAATCATTATTTTTAAATTTAAGAGAAAATAATGGAAGTGATTAAATTTTAAAAATTCATTATAAATTTGCTTAACTTTTTTTAAGTAGTGCCATTTTTTCCATTCACACTAGACATTTGGAAATAATTTAATTATTTTGAATTTTAAAGAAATTATTGCAATTTGCAGAATTTGAAATGAGCGGATTTATTATTAATAGTGTTTTAAGAACTATTAAATTTAAGTAAATCTTAGCTTTTATTTCTGATAAACGATCTCAAAGCTATCTTAAATGTTTCTGAAGCATTTTTTTTAAATAGCATTTCCATTTTCTTTTAGCTCTTGAGAACCCCACTTGGAAATCGTATTTTTGATAAGAATGGGTTTGTGGAGGTTATGGAATGATAAATGTATTATTTTACAACAATTTTTGAAAATTTTAAATATTTTGTGGCGTAAAAATCAATTTTGTTTAAACATTTAAAATGGATTTTTTTTTATTCTATGTTAAGGCCTAAGAAATTAGGAAGACAAATTAAAATTTGTGATATTTCTTAAACAGCTGTATACAAAATATGTTGTTATATTATATTAATTGTTAATGTTGCTTTGTTAATTTCAATTGTTCATCATGTATTTACACTTTGATTTTTTTTAACAATGTAGAAAAACTAACAATAGTTTTAGTGTGCTGTGTTATAACTGCTGATCTTATTTGAAATTTTGGTTTTCCTATTAATATTCATTATGCACATGCAAATTACATATAAATTTTTGAATTCATCTTGAAATAGTGTGGAAGTTCCTCCTAAGTTCAGATTTTTTAGTTTAAGCACAATACACTTAAGTATAAAAATCATGTCTTGTCTGTTTATCTTGTACTGTTTCAAAAGCTTGAGGCATTATTTCCTCCAAAATAAGAGTCACGTTTTTACAATCCTCCAACTAACTGCAAATTTGTTATCAACACAATAACAATATACTTCTGCATTTCTGAGATATTCTTGAGAATTTCAATGACCATCAGGGGTCATTAAAAAAACAAAAAAACAGATAGAAAATGTGTGTGTGTGTGTGTGGGGGGGTCTTACAACCCTGACAGAAGCAAATTTGGGGGTTGATGAAATATGAACGTTCTTATAATATTTATTACAAAATGTTAAATAATTGACTTAAATGAATGTTATGAATGTGATGGTAAGTGAAATTAATAATTAATCAGAAATGTGTTTTGAGATTACATTTGAAAAAATTGTGAAATTTCATATACAAGTCACATTCACTAACTCTAGAAATGGGTGTCCAAAACAGAATGTTATTTTGAAGGGAGGGGGATGGAGTGTTACAAGTTGTTGTGAGGGAGTGTGAAGTGAAATTTTGTTAGCATATTTCCTTAAAGTCTCCTAATTTATCTCTGTTTGAATTCCATATCATTCTGTTTTAGATTTGATGTGTTTGATCCCTCCATTTTTTTATATTAATTGTTTGTACCATTGTTACCATTCCTAATGTTTTCTAATTTATTAAAAAAAAATTAATAATTTATTACAAACTATCGTCATGTCATGAAAATTTTCATTTTCCTTTACTGAATTTTATTTGCTCTCAGTCTTGTCATATGGAGTGTCAATTGCGGGCTCTATGGAATACTCTCTCAGTTTCAAACTCCTGCAGGAAAATGTTAAGTCTTATCAATCTTTAGAGGATGGAGGAAGTCAATGCTAGGAAGAATACTATTGACAGAATGGGAGGCAGGAGTTTCAAGAGATTATTGAAAGTGATGAAGCTGATCGAGGTACAAGTTTACTGGCTATTGCTAAAGTCTCTCAAATCGTATTTATGAGCAAAAGTTGTCCATTTTTGCACTAAATGATTTAGGCTTTAACAAAATGCATTTAGCCAAGACTAAAAGCGCTTTACAATTTTAAAATATATTTTACATTTGCATTTATAAAGCTTTGAATAACTGACCTTGGAAATGCACGAGTAGCTTATCAAAATATCATAAAAATACTCCGCTTTTTTTTACACTTTAATAGGTACACAATCAATCATATTTTGTGTGAATGTTTATTATGAACTAGAGTAAATGCAAATATCCTCCAGAATAAATTGGTGCAGTTACATCCCAAATATACATGTTCTTCCATTGAAACCATACAAATTCCTTATATTGTTGATGTTATTTATTTTAGGAATATATGTGTGAGCTAATTAGTGTAAGTTTTGATTCTTGAGTTGTTGTCTGTTGTGAATTTTTTATTTATTTTTTATAACATTATTTTGTTGTAACTTACAAGTTTTGGTATACTAGTTCTATGCAGAGTAATATGTAATATTTCTTCCTAGAACATTTTGAGAGTTCCATGTAGAATAAACTAAATAACTTTCATACAAAGTATAAATCATTTGTTTCTACAAATTTATTTCCTTCTGTTAAGCGAGTTGTGTTGTTTTTGTCAAATTATGGGCATATCCTATTATTTTGGACAGATTGACTTTTACACAAGCTTTAAAATATTTTGTAGTTGTAAAAAGGTGCCTACATTTACAGTTAATTGATATAATGAAATTAAGTTAAGATTTTTAGAAGTTTTCTTTGAACTAACATTAAAAGGCCACATACTTTGTTTTGTATCTAACATAGTTTTGTGTTGGCTGAAACTTGACTGATTGAATGGTTGATTAATTATTTAATTAATCAATATCATTTACCCACTCCATGAATAACGAATTCAACAATATGACTATCAAGCTATTGAAGAGTGAATATATTTATGCATAATGGATACTTTATAACTGGCCTAAGGTGATGGAACTAAACAGTATTCTTTTTTGTAGATACATTCTATATAAGTAGAGTGTACGGCTGATGAAATATTCTTAGTACAAACATTTTATGTGAATTACTTATTATACGAAATGAGAATTAATCTATATATTAAAGGAGTATTTTGGAACTATTTCAAAGTATTCATCTATTATCTATATACAGAGATTTGAAAATAGAAAAAAAATTCTATGTTAATAGGCAATTTAAAATATTTACTATACTTGTGAAATAAGACTATGGTAAACAATCCTTATTGGAAAAAATATTATTTTGAGACTTCAAATGTTCAGCATTAAAATAAATTAAAGAACTGATGCTAGTAAATGGAAGCTGAGAAACTATGAAATTTATTTGTGGTTCCATTATTTTATTAATCTGCTTAAATTTTGAAGGTATGATGTGCAAGTAGAATTCATGTATAATCTGTATCATGTATAATCTGTATTCAAGTATATTTTGTCTGCTTTTATATAGACGTACAAATAAAAACAGTTGAAAGATTTTCTGTTTTAATTTTCACCCTTTCGTCAACAAATCATGACTGGTGTAAATGACAGTTTACTTCCCCTCCACAACTGCAATGCCTGTTGACAAGTTCAATAATGTACAAAATATTAAATTTATATGAGGGGAGGGGCAGTCCTATGTAATGTTGTGCAAGTGGAGAGACACCAAATATGAGTTTTAAAAATTGTGATTTGGTTTTCATCATTTTTGATTAATTATTAGAACACTCATTCCTTCCTATTGACATTTGTGCATAGATGTCAACTATACGGGTCCTAGGCCTCTCTGACCCCACCCCGCGCCCCCGAAATTAATTCCTCCCAAAATTGGATGAAAATAATTAAGTAAAAGCATTGTGGGCTTACAATGGTTTATCAGGTAGACGAGGATAATGCACTGGATGGAAAAAAAGAAAAAGAAAAAAAACACCTCAGATTCAGAGTTTAATTTCATGAAAAATAGTAGTTGGAGTTTTTTGAAAAGGTTTCCCTTAAAAAAAAATTCCTCTTGCTTGAAAAGCGTGTCTACGGTGGTTCAGCAACTGACTCGAATTGCGCGCCTGGAAGGGACATTTAAAACAAATTTTCTCGCCGATTCTTTCCGGCAACTTTTTTTTTTTAAGTATTGGTTCTGCCGTTCTTTATTAAATTCAACGTAGAATCTGGGGTATTTTTTTTGTCTCTTATTTCCGGAGGGGAGAGAATGTTAACTCTGTTTTCATATTCTTCTCGTGGGCTAACCATGAAAACAGTTGAATTATGCTACACTTTCTCTTATGGATGGAAATATGAAAAGACAAACCGTATGAAGTTTAAAACGAGAAAATAAATCTGAATCTTTTAAAAGTTAGTAAGAAATAAAATATTCTATGTACCACCGGCGTTAACTGGTTCTAATTATCGAGCATCGACAAAAAGCTTTTTGCCACTGTTCGATCATTAGAACCTTTATAACGCCCTTTGTGCATAAATAAGTATTATTTAAAGTAATCACATGGAACAGTATAAAGCCCAAATCTGCGTTGATAATTTCTTCATACAGGTTTTCAAATATCGAAAAATCACTAAAATAATAATTTTATGTGAATGGTTGACAATTTTTGTTGCAGAAGTTTATGATCTTCACTACTACTCACTACTCATATCCTGTCCAACATGTACAGAATGTGTGAAAGGGAATATCACATCTTATGTTTTACGATACAATATTACAGAATGGATGGGTACTAACACACTGTTGAGGAACACTTCATTCATTTATAAATAACTAGTGGTCCCAAAACCACGCCTCACGTACTTTCTCGCCCTTAGTAATGGTTAAGTAGTACTATTTATGCAATTAGTTTATAATATTAAGTTGTATTGCATGAGTACATGTTTTGTAAACAACGTTAGGAGCAAGTTCCAATGTAAGAAACTAACAAATAAATATGAAATGCCGTAAAATTCTAAATTAAAAATGCAAATCAAAAATACAAATTCTAACTTATGAAGCATCCAACTGACTGGAATCACTTTATATTGTGTTCACGAAGCGTAGGAAATTCGGAGCGGGAGACTGACGCCAAATTACACCAAAAATACTCATATTTTCGAAAAATTCAATAGGGCCTTTTTTGAAGACCTGTTGTTGATGAACAGATTTCATGAAGACAAATTGTATTTTCACAACTGTAGTTGTAGGAAGATGCCGAAAAATTAAAATTTTAACGATCACGAGACGTGCACCGTTCTCTTAAGCTTCCTTTACGCTATCTAAGGTCCAAATTTAATCAAATCATTTTGTATCATTTTTAAGAAAATAATGTTTTAAAGAAAATAATAATTGTCAATGTTTGACACAAAATTTCGAAAACAATTTCATATTTGTTGAAAAGTGGACATGACATTATTTGAAGATCTATTTTTGAAGTACACATTTCATTAAGAAAATGTTTATCTTCATAATTGTGGTTATCTTAAAAAATTTGAACTTTTCAATTTTCAAAAAAGCAGTTTTTTTAATGAATATTAGTCTTTCACCATTCTCTTAAATGTCCTTCACACTATCCAATAAATATTTAATAAAAAAGGCTGGAGCTATTTCTTTGAAAATGCTCCAGCGTCTTTATGTAAAATACTCCCCAAAATTATGTTTCAAATTCAGAGAGCCGTGCCATCAGGCAGATTGATGGGGGTACATCAATTTTGGGGAAAATTGGCTGAACGGCTTACTCGCTATCAGTCGTTAGTAGCATTGTTCACAGACGGACGGACGGACATTTCAGTCGATTTCAAGGACCTACAAAACAAGGATTCTGGCTATACTACGTGTTAGAGGGATATTTTCTAAGTTCAGCAACTGAATTTGTCCACTTAGTAGTGCTTGACAATGAGTTTTTCTGCCGAAAATTTTCGCTGTTCCCCCGCAGTATTACATAACTTTCTACTGCGTAAGCAGCAGCGAGAAAGTAAAAGGGAATGTACGTACGTGTGTCGCACATAAAAGCAAAAAATACTCAATCCATTTCTCTAAAATTTTCACACTCTGTTTTTATTAGTATTGGGAGTCTTTAAAGAGTGGTTTGCGGGGAAATCTGACATATTGGGGCGGTGTTGATGATGATTTATTCGTTAATGACGACTCAAGCGCCCCCTTAACTCTACGCAAGCCGCTATACTGTTAATGATTACGGCCGTCTTCACTGCACACAACTATTCTTGGACAAGTAAATCAAATTTCTCCACGCTAGTGTTGTAGTATACACATGCCAATATTGCAACAACAGGATACTTCACAAACATGACCAAACTAGGACATAGAACAAAACCATACTTGCGAGAGTCATCTAATACATATTTTGCACAGCGTAACGTAAAACGTGAATAACAATTACGAATAACGTGACCGGTAGTGTGTATTGTGTAATACTT